CGCGATGTCAGACCAGGACTGATTATCTTTCCGATTCTTCTTTGCATTTTATCCAGAATCTCTAAATACATAGCAGAAGAACTACATCAAATGGGATAGCAATATGCAATGCATGGAGGAAAAAGCACTCATATAAATGTGTAAGCGATATTCTGGCGAGAAGGTTGTCAAGTAAGACACAGGGAACCAAATTTTAGAGCAGCACAGCTAGAAACTGATTGAATTTTCCACTTCATATCAGCGGAAGACCTTAGCCCGAATAGACGCAAAGAGTCACTCTCGTGGAGGCTAGGATCTGCCACACTGATGGAAGACAAAGGTGTCCACTAAGACGATTAAAAGAGAGCAGTTTCGTTTTGGAGGCGTTAAAATCAACCAGCCATTTCTTGCCCTAGTTAACGATTGTAGGTATTTTATCTGCTCAGCTGTAAATTTCATATTATCAAACCGGTCCGACTTACTATTAAGACTGAATTAAGTAATTGTGTGACCAGCATAGTGTAGACTGGCCAGAGTTATCATTAAGACTGGAGTAAATAATTGTGTGACCAGCGAGTTTAGGAAAGCTGGCATCAGGAAAGTCGTTGATGAAAATTCGGATTAATGCCGATCCAAGGATAGAGCCTTGCGGGACATTTGCGTTAATCCAAAAATATATACAATAGTGGCCTTTCAAGAAAGCTATCATTTCACGATGTCATGAGAAAGATTGAAGCAGATCAAAAATTGGTTCGGAAATACCAGAACGTGTTACGAAGACCAGAATGCCAAATTGTGTCAAAAACCTTCTAAACAGCAGATTCATCATCGCCATTTATGTCTAAAGCTTGACAGACTCTTTCAGCAATAACTATTAACACATTAGTAGCTGACCTAGAGAAGTGACATGTTTCCTATCTGAATGTAGACTATGCGAGGTAAGATACTTAAGGAATTCGTAGTTGATAAAAGATAAAAGACTCTAGTACAGAGGTAGAAAAGCTAATAGACCGATAGAATGTTTACTTGATTTCTTAAAGCACGGAACTACAGAAGAGAATTTCCAACAAGCAAGGAAGCAAAAAAAAAAGCATTTGTTTTAGAGTTTAGAGGATACAATGGTCATTTCAGAAGCATAATTTTTTAGGGTTTTTACAGTGATACCAACTTGTCCACATCTTTTGTGAAGATCTTGTTTATAGATGATAGTAATAATGAGCGACTGACGTATATCCTACAGTAGAGTCAACGTTCCAAGTGGAAAGTCAAGCAAAGATGCTCCAGATGTGTTAAATTCAGAACTGGAAGATAAATTATAAGCAATACATTATGCTTCATAAGCAGATTACAAAACCACAAATTAAGTGAAGAGACACGGAATAGAAGACTTATTTAACACACTATTACAGAGCTGACTGCTGTCATGAGAACTACATTCGTTAGAGGTTATACGGTGCCTCATTCTGTCAGAGAACAGATACTTACCGCTTTGAGGACAAGTTTTGAATTATTAAGAGCAGCCACAAAGAGGCCTCTATTGTATTCAAAACTATAACGTTGACACAACCGGAACAAAGTGAAGTATGTGGGCTATAGCGACTGAACAGGCAGATGTGAACTAAGAAGAAGACAGGCGGAATATAAATCTCCTTGCTATACAAAAGAATGTGTAAAATATGGTTGTGACAGAGCGGTGCAATGGACGTCTAAATAGTTTAAATTTTACACGGAAACAATTCTTGGGAGATAAACTATAGAAACAATCTTTTCGTCGATGAATACAGCAAGCTTATGTTTTACGACATACTCTATGCAGACAACACTGTTTTGATCGCAGGTTCAGGAGGAAATTATTGGAAGGATTAGACAAGGTATTCGCTGAAATATTAAAAAATCTATGAAAAGATCTATTAAATATAAGAAGGCATAATGCATATTTCTTTTACTAAAATAGCCAATTCCACCAGTCAGTTAAGTATAACTAAATCAAATCGCTTTAGTATAGACACAATCGGCGAAAAATCTGATATAGAAATCCAAAGGCGAAGAGGATCAGCGAAAGAGGATTTTGTATTAGTGAGTTTTATTACAGGATCGAAAAGTCTCCTTAGAAAAATAAAGTGCTGAACGAGTAAGTAATGTCAAATCATCTATATAGAATTAAAGGCAAGAATATGTGGGGTGTGATTTTAACGATAAATATTCAGAATCTTATCAAGAGAATATTTGAGATACGAATAAAATCTTTATGGTGATTTACAAAGGAAAATAGCTATTATGAAGTGACAACTGAAATATTAAGGGCACATATGCTATCATTATTGTGATTTGTTATCACAGCAATACAAATGCAAAATAGGTACATATGGCTGATAATTACAAAGAGACATCTGAAAGTTAGGGCACAAAAAGAAAATTGAAATACTAGGTAACATTGACTTATTTGGGAAGGATTTTAGAATAATATATAAATAACATCTACGTAGATCAAACAGTCTGCACACCAACAGAGAAGGAGTTAAGTGAATACACGGATAGAGAAAACTCAGAGAGACAATGATATGTTTTTTCACGGGAAATATAAGTTGTCCCCAAAAAATGAACATCATTTAAATGTGACTATCTGAATAATTACATGTTCGAGGTATACAAAATTAATTCACGTTGATTAATAAAGCATTTATTTATCAAAATTCGAACACGATATCCAAAGGATGTAGAATTTAGAACCGATTTCACAAAGCTTTACAAATGTTCAATATGCGCACCACCTGTGATACGACATATGTCAGATCGGTAGTCCAGCTCCTGCCAAACACGCTGTAGCATGTCTTGCGTAACATTCTTCAGCGCCTCAGTAAATTTTGCTTAAGTTCTAGGCTTGTAGAAAGTGTCCTTTCACATACAAAAAATCACAAGGTGGAAAGTCAGGTGAACGTGGTGGCCATTTCAACACCACATCGTCATTATTGCTGGCACGTCCTATCCATCTTCCTCGTAGATTCTCATTGAGATAAGTCCAAGCAGTCAACTTAGTTACACATTTTGTTAAAATCTGAGATCATCTGATCGACTACTGTCTATGTAATTAGACTAAAGACAATGTCAATTTTTGTGGGGATACACTGTATATAGCAAGAAAAAGACGACCCAGGATAGTGACTTACAAAGCGTTGCTTAGATGTGGCATCAGATCGAAATTATGGGGTTCTCAAAGGGGATCGAACTCGCTATTCAGTTGTAATTGATCTAATGAGACCAACTTGCTGACAATCTTACACCACGTCGAAGTGCCGAAACATTATCGGCGAAAACAAACTGGTAAGTGGATAAGAATATCTTGAAGGCAAACCCAGAAGAATAAAACTTAAAGAACGTCCAGATAAGTTAGTACAGGAAAGTAAAAGGAAAGCAGTAACTAGCAGCTGTAAGAATGTAACATGCATGGAAAAGACGACAGAAAGTGTCACACAGAAATCCGAAGGCGATTAGAAATAGCGAAATAGGTCGGTCCGAAACGAAGAAACAAGAAAACATTATTTAGAAACAAAAAACTTAACTGTAACGTAATATCTAATCGTCTATATAGCAATGAATGCTGGACACTATCTTCTGTGGTCAAAGAAGTGGTTCTATGAACTAATGATAAGCATAACATGGGCACAATAAATTAGCAACAAGGAATTTTTAAGGAGAATGTGAACAAAGAATCCAATACTTAGAAGTAAACAGTTGAAATTTTAAGTAAAATTTAAATTATTATTTACTGTTGGTAGAAAACAGATTGATCTGTTTTCTACGGCTTATCAACCATTTGTAGGTTATTTAAAGCCAGAAGTTATATTTTGATTGTAAGAGATTTTTGAGGTAATAAATATTTAGGGATGCAAGACTTAGTAATTAACCTATAGTTAGGAGAAGAAGAGGTGAATTCATGCCTTTTTCAATGATGTTTGCGTGTTAGTGAATATAAAGATGATTGGAATTTGGAAACAGCAAGTAACAATTCGGTGCCAATCCATAATATCACCCGCGCATCTAAGCTTCTAGCACCTGGTATTCCCAACCGATTACTTATTTAGTTACTGACCAAGCTCGACGTTGTTCGACCTTGATATGGCCGTAAGCATTGATGGTAGAAGAGGATAAAGAAGGATGGTAAAGGTAAAAAAGTTGGACCAATAAAACATAGAAATTTGTGCATATATATATATATATATATATATATATATATATATATATATATATATATATGTGTGTGTGTGTGTGTGTGTGTGTGTGTAATGGTGTGTTTGGTAATCCGTATGGATAATTCCAAGGAGGAGTTAATCCAGACAGCTCAATGGAAAAACTGAGCAAATATTAATTATTATTAAGAAAGAAACAAATTTAAGATTTTATGATGAGAGTGACCCATTTCTTTCTATGAAAATGGTTAATCTGAGGAATTATGATCGAATTTCGATCCCAAGGAAATAAATTACAATCATCATGAAAACTTGAAGTTGTCTGTTACCTAATATATATATATATATATATATATATATATATATATATATATATATATATATATATAATGATGAGATCAGACGATCCTTAAAAACCCATTCGATTATAATTTACTATTAAGACCAAATGTTTGATATTAACATTTTCGTTACAGATTATGGCGCATCAATGACTGAAAAAGAATTTCAATCCTGAAAGCTTACACAAGTCTCTATCAAATTGGCAGTATGCCTTGAACGCCTACACAATATCATTTGGTAGAAGACTATTTTCTAAGTTTTATCAACCATTTTCATGTTATTTAAGGCCAGAAAATAATTATTTTTAGATTGTAAGAATTTGTTATTGCGATATGTTTTACTACTTAACCCATACCTGGGGGAGAAGAGTTAGATTTAGGCCAAAGTTATTTGCCCGTAAGTGAATATCACGACCCAAGCGAAAACTGGAGCTCGGCTCTCCGTTTAATAATTATGTTCCATTATACATTACACAACACGGAAATCTACTCTAACAGCACCTGGTATTCCCAAATGGTCACCATGTCGGAACTGGCCAGAGTCAACGTTGCTTAACTCCTGTGTTCGTATGGGAACCGATGTTTCAACGTGGTGTGATAGTAAGCCTTCCTAGAAAACAAATCCGTAAAGAAAATATTCAAAATGTGTGGCTCACGTAAACTTTCTATTTTCGTAATAAAAATCAATTTCTTAGAATTAGGAAAATATTCTCTTGCGAACTGATAGAAGCACAATGATGTCTAGACAAGAACTGAAAATGATAATTTCGTTGCTTTAAAGATTCGGGAGCCTTAGGCATGTTTTTATGCCCTTCAAAATTTTACTAGTACCCGATAAAACATTCAGTAAGAGATATTTGGTAACAGAACCAAATCTAGACAATTGGAAGAAATATTCCAAAAACGTTTAAAGTGGGACATATAAGAATGTTCAGTAACCTTTCGATTCACAAAATTAGGTGATCATTTTTCTAGGGTTTAAAGAAATAGAAAATAATTATTTGAAAAGATTAACGCAGTTATCAGAAAACGTGAAACCGATAAGCATTAAAAATAATATATATATATATATATATATATATATATATATATATATATATATATATATATAAAAAAAAAAAAGAACAGTAAGATATATAATCCGGTGTTCTTATAGATATTTTTATTTTTACAAAATAGTGCTCAATGGAAGTTTACAGAGCATTAATATTATAAATTAATTGATTTAAAATATGTTTTTTCCGCTACACAGTTCTAACCATGTTTCAAAAATAGAAGCTAAAAGCCCCGAATTTAATTTTGCAATTAAATTAAAAGCATTAGTCCCATTTCATCCTCAAGCGAATTATGGATTAACTTTTAAAAAATTACTGGGTTTTAAAGACACAGCTAAAATCACGTTTCCATGGTTACAGAATATTCTACTTCAATTGGACAAGGGTATATATATATATATATATATATATATATATATATATATATATATATATATATTTGTAAAAGGCTGTGAAACACAGCAGTTGAAGAACTCATTATGAAAAGAATCTTTGTACAGATAAATATTCCAAACCATACTGATGAAAATGCCTGGAACTTTTTCCGATTATCCTGCATTTAGGTGATGTGGCTACAATAGCGAAGTTAAAGTATTTTTTTTTTTAAATTTGACGCAGCCATTTTACTTCTGTGGAATATTTAATAAAAAAATATCCTCCCAATTGGATTTCGAAGGAAAAGGTTATAATTTTAGCTTATACTTTACCATCATCATTCTCGCGTAGATAATTATTTTAATCTGATCATCAGCGTTAAGCAACTACTTGCATAGGCAGTAAAATATGGGTAATCTTTTGGGTAAGGCGTGAAAGAAAATGTCTATCATTAAAAATGCAAATTTCATCTTTGTCTCTCTTATGCTGAAAATTATTTAAATTTTATTATGAGAATTAAGCAATGTTTGACTCGGACAATACATCATGGTGTCCCTACTTAGAAATTGTAGATATGCAACCATAATCCAAAGACGATAAGCACACGAGTAGATAGCGTGAAATATCATTGAGAATTAGCGGTATTCGCATTTCAGTTCAGCAGCACAATCCCAGCATTTACAGTGCCGGAAATTTCCGATATCACTTCATAGGCCGCTTGATCTTTCTTTGAACAGCCTTTCTTACCTTCAGCTCTTTTGATTTTTAGTGTTATTTTGTTAATACAGATATAATATATATTTATACTCTAGTCGTAGAATTCCGACTTTTTCTTGAAGTGTTTCATTTTCATGAAAGAATCTGTCTGCTTTTCATTTTTGAACATGGGACATCGCTACCTTTGCACCTAGGAACAATTGTACAACGCAAAAGAAGAAAAATATAACCTTGTATACTTCGCTTCTCTAACGTAATCTCTTTTTCTCTCCCCGTTTTACTCTATTTTTCTTACTTACTACGAACACTTATTACACGTTACGCGTACATAAACACATGCACACACATACAAGCACATTATATAGACCACGAACACATATACATATAAAAGACACACGAGCACATCACAGTATGAAACGTACTAAAATACATGGAAAACTATCATAGAAGTGTGTGTATTGCACTCATGCACGCTTACACACTCACAAATGCATACCTTACTCTGAAACACATTCATCCAAATATTCTATAAAATAATAATAGAAACCACGAAACACACATATCCTTACCAGAGACAAAGCCTTACATATAATAATATATGATAACACCTACATCTAATACCACATGCACAATCCTCTAGAAACAACAGTCCCCGTACGATCAGCGAAGTTAAGAAACGTCGAGACTGGCCAGTACCTAGATAGGTGACCGTTCTCTTGCTTGTGTCGCATGGTGCACAGTGTTGTTGCCAAACATAGGGTCTTCCAGCAGCAAGTCTCTTGACACAGGGTAGCATTATCTCGTGTTGATTCTAAAGTCCTGTGGGAAAATGAATGGAGGCAAACCTTGCCATCACTAGTTATTATCCCAAACACCTTCGTAATCACCATTAGACGCGTGCAACTCTTTTAGAATCCTCTGCGCATTACTCAAATTGACACCCAAGCACCCTAAGCTATTCATATTGGAGATTCTGATTCAAACCCAGCAATACTGTGCAGTTGACAAAATTAAACAACACGCATGCACGAAATTAGAAAAAATAAAATGGCGACAATTCACCCATCGCGCCCTGTATATGGCCATACCTGTGTTATGATAGCATGCATAAATTACTAAAGGATAAATCATTTCAGGTAAGCACATCTTCGTGAATGAATTGCTCAGTATTAAAATGAATAGAGCATTAAAAATGAATTAATAAATATAAAGTTTAATGATTTACCTTCCGAATAATGACTTTTCCTCATCATACAATTTCAGATCAGATCATATGAAGTTATCAAGCTTTTAAGACGGAACAAATTTAACATTTAGTCAATAATTAACGTTTTAATGAAACCTATTTTAAATGTAGGTGATATCAGTTCAAAAGATTTATTTTATCCTTCGTGCGGATATATATCTGCTAAACTCCAAATCTGAGGATAAATCTGAGCATTCTATCTATCTATCTATCTATCTATCTATCTATCTATCTATCTATCTATCTATCTCATTTCACAAAGATTGACTGTGTTTTATATAACACTAACCACTTTTTACCCTTTTCAACAGTGCCGCGATTTTCCAATTCAACATCTCAAATGTTATCTGTTTTCTGTTGTGGCGTGCTTTTAATTTCTATCGAAACGACTAAAACAATTTTCAGGTGTTCAATGATTCATTCCAAGCAAATCAAATGGCAGCAGCGGTGCTATCATTTTTAGAAAGTGTCCAATTTGAAGAACCCAGAAGCAATTTCATTGGTCGTCATTTTACGTATATATCTTATTAATCTTATTAGGACACTTACTCATCGTGCATTGATGTTGTGCTCTGAATGTAGACTCGACGCCGGGCTGAAGAAAATCAAACAACTTTTATTGATGAATGGTTACCCTGAATGTGTATTGACAGCTACCATTGAACAAAAGATCAATAAGTTCAATGAGTCTAAGAGATATGGCCCCTCTAAATGTCCTGCTTATTTGAGACTCCCGTGGATTGGTCCTGGGAGTCAAACATATGCAGACAGATTCGCTAATTCAGTTAAACGGTGTTTTAATGCTGTTAATGCCCGAAGTATTTTTACTACAAGAAAGCGCACCCCCACCGCTCTCTGTAAGGGTGTCTTGCCTACCAATCAACAAGGTTTAGTTACATAATTGTCGATGTGAGATCGACAATTAGGGCAAGACCATCCAACGGTTAGAGGTAAGGATCGCCCAGCATGTTCCGGGCAAGGTGCGAAGACACGAGACTATTATTATTAATATGCAACGTTTTGCCCTGTGTAGACAACGGAAGATGAAATATAGGTTGGCCCTATTCGGGGAAACTCCTGACTAGGAACATATATAGTAATATTTTGTTTCTTCTTCCCCCGCCCTTAAATGACTACTGGGTAATTGATTTTGTAATACCACTTGTTGATAATATTTTTTCTTATCAGCATCTCTGTTTTATATTGCTGACGATTCTGTTTCTGAGGAAGTGTTGACCGAAGAGGCCCAAAATATTTTTCTTAAACGAGATACATTTGTATCTATTTTAATAATAAAAATATGATCCTTTTCCTTAAAGTTATATATTATATATATATATATATATATATATATATATATATATATATATATATATATATATATATATATATATATATATATATATATATATATATATATATATATATGTGTGTGTGTGTGTGTGTGTGTGTGTGCAGATATCTATAACTACTACATCAATCAGTAAGAGTTTTAGCAGGGAGTCTGTAAGGATTTGGCATTGTAGCCAGACAAAAAAACACAACCCAACCCAACCTTACACGACTGCAAAAACCTGACATTCCACAAACACCGCTACTTCAATCAAAGCAGTAACCCCTTGATAAAAAAGAAAAGAAAAAACAAACGCCATACCACACCTCCATTCAAAACTATAAATGAGTAAAACATTCCATACCATAATTATTCCAAAACAATGCTTGGGGATGAAATATATATATATATGTAGTGAGAAAGACCTGCAACGAAAAAGATTTTAGTAGATTCAAAATGGTTGAGAAATCACCGAGTTAGAAGTAAGTGAATGCAACATAAGAAGACATGCTAAAAGGTTACAGTGGAGGCTTTATTTTAATAAGTCGTACAAGACGTTAGGAAATCTAGTCGTGATGGTTGGTACTTCAAATGTCCGAATCTCGACTGACGTTCTCAACACCGTTCTGTATTTTCATTTCACCCACGGAAACGAAAACAGGCCGGTTTTATTGTGGGTTTTCTGTAGGCTCGACCTTTTGAAGCCGAATCATATCTCTTTTCCCCGGAAAACCTTGCCCTTCGGCAAAGCTTCGTCTGGTTCTTATATATAACGCATATATATATATATATATATATATATATATATATATATATGCGCAGTCAGAGACCGCTCAACACCGTTCGGTATTTATCTTTTCAACGGAAAAATAT